GAGTTTACCATGCGTGAAACGCGCTACAACCTGCTTGGCTCGAGAATGAAATACATATCCGTTACTGGTATTTTTTCTCCCAGCCATAGGTACTGATGTTCTGGATCTTCACAAAGTTAGGATTCAGTAGCGATATCTACTCGATTCCATGCGGTCGACTCACGGCAACCATACGTCTCGTGATTGATCATTACCCAGTCCGGCTCTTTGGTGCCAATTTTCTGATGACAGGAACAAGTAAAGGCGCTCCTGTATCGTACACATCAACCTCACGACTGACAGGGCAGCAAATCAGGAGATGCCTAAGCGTGTTCACCTAGCGCCACAAAACCGTATTTCCTCGTGTCAATGGAGTGGTGTTGCTCGCGATACACTGTGCCTTCCTGCCCAACCCGAGTTAATTATATCTGATTCACTTCTCGAGTCTCTTATCGTTCTTGCAGCGGTTTCACTCGGGCCCTTGAACAAAATCCCAGTCTTTTCCATAGCACCTTTTGGAACAGCGATGAAAAGATGCTTTTTTATAGGACACACAGGTTGCTCTATGCCGAGCTAAAAAATGGTACAAGAAATAAGTTGTCTCTCGTCTATTATCCATGCGTCCTTCGTGCTAACAAGGACACGCATGCTTGACTGGAAGAGTGATTCGTCACTACCGCTTTCAAATACTGATTTCACCATGGACCACTGACGGCGACCATTCGTATACAACGAATCCCAAGCTCACTCAAACTGGCAATTATGATCCCAAAAAAACACTGGTATTGATATCCCATAGGTATAAACGCTCGTAAACACTAATACAGTGTACGTAAGGGAACAGAAGAGGACCGGAAAGTCGCAGCCGACAAAGATACGGACAATTTCTAGTATCACAAGTTTTAGCATAAAAACTGCCAAGTCGCAGAACAGATCCTTACCTCGATCCAGCTGATGCAATGCAACCCCAACTCTCCAGGTCTATCGCACATCTACTGGCTAAATGTCAAGCAATCAGCTTGAGTACCTTCGGCGAATCGAAGATAAAGTTCGACTCACAGGAGCGACAGGGTGATGTCACCGTTGACTTTCGCCTGGATGGCAATCTCGACCTCGAGGTTAAGGTCAAGACGGAGCTTCAAGGCTGCGGGAGGGGCAACAGCCTGGCGCTCAGAGCGGCCAACGATCTGTCCACCGAGGACGGAAGAGGATTGAGTAGGTGCGAATTTGGTTTCTGGGGCAGACATGATGATGCTGAAGAAAGAAAAGTCCTTCAGGCTCTCCTTTTATACGTGCTCCTCCGGATAAAGGCCTGGGCTAGAGCGACGTTGTAATTGTACCCCGATGCATTCAGCAAATCGGGTGCCTCGTCGTAACCAGCTAATTACTCATGAATAGTCTCGTAGAACAGGAGGGATGCGACTGAAACTTCAGGTACGTAATGCTTTCTGCTATTTCATATTGTGAGTACCCCATTCTGATACATACGACAGCATTCCTCCGTTGAAGCCGATTCGGGTCCTTCTGACGGACAAGCGATTGGACGGCCTGCTATAGCACGGGTTGCGCATCCATTTACCCGTGCTCAAGCCTTGTTCCGAAGCTGTGGGGTTGCGGTCCATGAAATTTAGACCGCGAGACAGGCTACCGGTGACCTTTTTATCGCCCAACTCATATTTCGTCAGTCCGTTGCAATTTCCATCAACAAATCAAAAATCGCGGGAGATGCTAGTGATGCTATGTAGCCCTGTCCGGAGCCACGTATGCGCATCTCGTCATTTAGGACTTTCAGTTATTAACCATCGATGCAACCCTTTGTCGCGGAGCCGGGAAATGACAATGAACAAAGGCTTTAATTTGGAACGTCTCGCCTGAGGAAGGCTTCATACTATCTGCATGAATGGGACTCGCGGCACGAACTTGATTGTCGAGGTCCTCTTTGTAACTATGCAGAGTGGTGCGCCGCCGCCGTTAGGCTTTCTCTTGCTTCTCTTCCCTTCTCTTCCGGACGAATTTCACTGATGAAAAGCAAGAGTAGACGACCACGAGAAAGATGCCGTGATAAATCAAATTTGTGATCCACATACACCAATGCGAATTCATGAGTTGATTGAAACTCTTGTGCGAACAGACCTCAATTGAATGATTTTTTGTGTTCTGATGATTACCATCAGCAGTACACCAGAGATGGCAAGACGTTGATAGACTCATGCTACGTGAAAGTTGAGGAGGATTCGTAAGGCTTCCAATTACTTTCCATTGTTCGCCGTATTCAACTGCTTTCGGATACTAGGAATTTGTTTCGCCATGGGAATTTTCTGAGTCAGGCTTACATCCATACGCTTCTATTGTGTTCCTTGGCCATGGTCTTCGGTCAAATATTTTGCTTATGGAGATATATTCAATATATTTACCAACTCTCGAGTCTCAGGACCTTTCCGAGTTGCGTCACGGTGTATGAACTCACATCTTGCCTGAACAATGGTCCCTAGCACTCCCAATGTTATACTCAAGTCTCTCAAACCATGTTGACTACGGCCCGGTCTGATGGATCTTCAGCCTCTTGGAGTGAAAGTGCGAGATGCAACGTTCAGATTTGTGGCAGGAGATAGCCTGGACTGCCGTATGAAGGATGTCTATTATCGTATTTATGCTGGGTACAAGCACAAGTACCCATTATTCGTGGGATGTCATACATATTCGTCACGCCTTAAGCTATAATGGTAAACCTGAGAACATTTTGAACCTTGTTATACCTATAGACGCTGCCATGTAGCACCTACCTATAACGAGGTGGATCGATAGCTGTCGGGTAGGGAGACCCTTCAAGGCTAGATAGACATTGACACTAAATATCGAAGACCGACTAGGATGCTTCAGCTTCAAAGCGATGAAGTAAAGTTGACTTATAAAGAAAAGAAGCATCCCGGGAGACCACGTGCGAATCTCTCTTTCAAGTACTCATCGTGATTCATAAGTGGTGTAAATATGATTGGTACGACCTCAAGGGCAATATTGTTTTAGTCCACATGTCAAACGACAGCAGACTTTTGAGACGAGAAGTTTGGTCTTAGTCCCTTAAAATCGATGCAAGACCCCCTGATCAAAAGAAACAACTCAGAATCCAAGCCCAGGGGATCAGGCTGACTGCAAGCGAGGTCCGGGAAAGTTGAATTGTAAACAAGTTCTAAGTGTTCAAAAGGCATTCAACAGCAAGCAATTACCAAGACTCCACATCAATAAGTAAGGATGAGTCGGCCCAGGTTTGAACTGAGGACCTTCTGTGCAAGGGATGCTAAAGAACCATGTTAGACAGATACGATAACCAGCTACGCCACCGACCCAACACAGTACGAAGGGACACATCGAAAATCAGGATATCGAGCCCACACGCAACAGTAGCTGATCCAATGGGAATGAGCCCTATATCTTGTCGGCACCTGCGCCAAAACGGAACCGTGTGCAAACCCAAACCTAGAACAAAAGACGAGTGCAGGACACTGACGATGCTGATGCGGACTTTTCGTCAGAGATTTTTACTCCATCCGTAGCGCCAAATCTGAGTGCATCTGGGATGCCAAGCAAGGTCCAGACGTACATGTTGGTGTTGTATATGGGAGGAGGGAAACCGGCATTGGATCGTTGATCCAACATAATGTCCGCCTGCTATGTGGCGGAAAGGATGTCTCTCAAAGTCGCTCGGGTTTGCTACGTTTGCACCTGTGTATACGTGAATCCAACAGACATGAAGATGAGGACGTCGGTTTGCAGATGTCAGAGTACGATCAGCGACTACGCCGATGTCCCAAGCGTCAGTGTAGATAGATAGAGACCTGCGGCTACTTTGATAGAATGAATTTTTGCTCGATGTCCATCCGCTCTCCTGTCGCTATGATGGCTGAAAGCAAATCCAGCCGACAAAGGATACATAGAGGTTAGGGTATCGTCGGATAAGAAGAGGTCGAGGGGTGTCGGGATGTTCGCTTTCCGTGATAATGGTACGGCCATTCATTATTAAATGCCGTGGTAGCGCGGACCTAGATAGCTTGGAGCACAGCAGTGAGAGAATATCTAACAGATTACTTACTGGCGATGAGTGACATGTTCCGTTCGTGCAAATAAGGGACCAGTCTGCCCTACTTCCACGACCAGTACGGGAGAGATGCGGACTGGCGTGACGTATCGAACGGCGCGCGCATGTTTGAGCCAGTTTCCGGATGAGGGGAACATAAGATCTATCTTTGTATAGATTGGACAGTCATTTTTATAGCTCGATGACGGCGGCGGGAAGATCGATTGAGATTTCATTTCTTCTCCATGATGGGGGAGTAGCAGGGCGTCGTTTATTGAGGACGATCAGAAGAACGTACAAGCTCTCGCTTGCACACGGGTCTGCTCGCTGGCGACAGACCCAGCTGTCTGCGAAAACAAACTCTTTGGTGGTCCAAGATGAGATGTATCACAGAAGAGAGACGATAAGGGAGACCAGTGCCGGAGGAGAACGAGATAGAAAACAAGGGTTTGCGGGACTGAACGAGGCGCCCGGGGAGATGGCGGCGACATCTAGATGAAGGTGGAATACAGTAGTCAAAAGACAAGGAACCACTCACCGATACACCAGTATCCCACCCAGCCGTTCCTTGTAGCATACGCCGGTGACACCAATATTCGCGAACCGCTGGGCGGTGAGTAGTAGGCGTGGTCCACACGGTATCCCGTTCAATTTCTCTCTGGCTTTGGGCTCATACAGCAAGGCAAGGCCAGTGGAAAAGAAAATCAAAGGGACAAGCAGAGCTGGCCGTGATAAGGGTAGATACAGAGAGCGGTTTCATTCTGGGAAGCGTTACGCGGTATCGATGATCGTGATAGGCTGAGGATAGCAGCCGGAACTGAGTCCAAAAAGGGAAGCGCATAAATCAGAAAGAACACCGTAAAATGTTCTCCAGTTCGACAGGTAAGGGAGAAAAGGCATCGTATGTTGCGTCTCGATTCGAGTTACATGTTCGGATTTCTTGCACGAGTCAATCAACCCAGGTTCGAACTGAGGACCTTCTGTGAAGGTTATACGGGGAGACCGCACGGTGTTAGACAGATGTGATGACCAGCTACGCCATCGACCCATTTCCATGAAGTTTTAGGGGCTCTGAATACCTCAAGTTCTAAAGATTCCGAAACTTCGACATTCATATTGGCATGCACTACACTAATACAACATCAACAAAAGGCAGAAGAAGGTAATCAACACTAAACAGATACACATTAACATCATCAGAAATTAACACCTAACAGACTAAACCTACCAGAACGAGTCGAGCATAATCCCCAAACCCTCTCCCTGTGCTCGGTAGCACATTTACTCGCTGAAAACCAAACAGTCAGCCAGGGACACCCGCCAGACGACGAGAACCAACTCACAGGAGGGACAAAGTGATGTCGCCGTTGACCTTAGCCTGGATGGCAATCTCGACTTCGAGGTTGAGGTCAAGGCGCAGCTTCACGGATGCGGGGGGTGCGGGAGCGCGCTCCGAGCGGCCAACGATCTGTCCGCCGAGGACGGAAGAAGACTGGGTGGGTGCAAATTGGGTTTGTGGGGCAGACATATTGAAACTGAAGAATAACGCTCAGCTAGGTGATCCTTTTATACGAGTATGCTCCCCCCAGATTAGGACAAAGAGAGGAGGGGAGCCGGGGCGAGGGCAACGTTATGGATTGCGCCATGCATTTAGCAACTCGGGTGCCTCGTCGTCGCATTAGATGAGAAGAGAAGTTCATGTAGAGAGGTCCGGGTTAAATTTCGTGGGTTGTCATTGCAAAACACGTTCGAGGTTCGAACACCCGGGTACCTCTTGGGTCGCCAAGTTCTGCGGGAACGATCCGCGCGGGCAAGGCAATAATTCCTTGCTTGTGCTTCTCCATTTGGAGTGAAGCGACGAACGGGAACTAGCCTTGTCGTAACAGCCTAGAAATGGGGCACCTTCGAGAATAAAAAAAACTTGGAAGTGTTCACGTTCATGCATCATGGGAGGAAGAGAGAGGCTCGACTCTTAGATTCTCACGAATGTATTCATTAGTCCTACCGCATCAGAAAATTTCCCGTCAACGAGGCAAAGTTGCAAGCTTCCATGTATATTCAAATGAAAAACCAATGGTTACGAGCATAGTTCCCGGGCCGAATACCCCGCAACGCTAGAGTAGTGATTATAAAAAGACCTAGCTCGTCGAGTAGTTTTCTTTATCACAATGTCTGCCCCACAAACCCAATACGCACCTACCCAGTCTTCCTCCGTCCTCGGCGGACAAGTCGTCGGCCGCTCTGAGCGCCAGGCTGTCGCACCCCCCGCAGCTTTGAAGTTGCGCCTTGACCTTAACCTCGAAGTCGAGATTGCCATCCAGGCCAAGGTCAACGGTGACATCACCTTGTCCCTCCTGTAAGTGTATTGTTTTGTATGGTCGCGTTGGAGGCTGACTGGGGTTTACAGTGAGTAAACGCGTTACGTGCCTGGGGAGATGGAGTTGGCGCGTAGTCGCCCATTCGGGGTGAGCTTTTCTATTAGCGTGTTCGGCCATTTCGTGCTAACACTTGGGGGAAGGCACCGTACTGGTTACATTCTTCTCGTCGTCCTTGGTTGGCAGTGTATTAGTGTCTGTACACCTGTTAGATACGAATATCAGTGTTATTCTGGGATCATGCATTGAGATGTTATGAACAACAGCGCGCGGTGCAAAAGGTCGTTGACTAGAGTTGTCAAGAATTTCTACCGCGATTGAGAGATGGTAGTGTGACAGTGACTTTGGGTGGTATTTCCCGAAGTTTCTTTCCCACACCACGTTCTGACAGAGTGAAGACCACTGCATTCCTGCCCTTTAGAGTGAGGGTGTTGTCAGCGTTGTTGTGCGAGCAAATTCTGTGAGTTACTGTAGACTGGGAGTGAACTTGACGGAAAATGAAGCGTGTTGAGTCGAACACTGTGTCAATAGAACCAGGAAGATAGTGGTGACATCTAGAGATGAATGCTAGATAAAGTAGTCGAGATACAAGGAGTCGCTCACCATTACTTTGTTGCTGCCAGATTAGTACCGTGTGGCGACCCATAATTGTTGAGGATAATGGTTTCACAGCCACCAGGCTGACGGCTCGCCGTCTTTTGTTTTACTCTATTTTGATTTTCGTGACGATCACTACCGCTTCTTGGCTTCGTACCACCACCACCTACGTATTCGTCCGTCAATACGTTTGTTCGAGCCATACCCCTCGCGTTCATCATGCCTGCCGACGTCTATTCCCAACAATAATCCGATGAATAGGCGTGTTTGGCGATGTTTCTCACAAATTCTCGAGAAATGCAATGCCACTACGAAAGGATAATGTAAAAATGCAAAGGGATGGACAACAATGACAAGTCTGATGAGAGCATAAAGGGAGGCAGAGGCAGACCACGTGCTAGTGTATCCTTGCCTTCGCCCTTCATGTCGTGCCGCAACTGTGGATTCGTTCTCAAGCCACAGCCACAAAATATCAACATCTCCGACAGCCTCGTTTCACAAATTCTACGTGGGCAACGACCATTGCTCGACTCTGACCACGCACCGCTCAACGCCGAAATTGTCGAGTTGGAACAGCTACAATCCTTGTATGCTGCCCAGCTTGAAGAGATCCGGTTGTGTCAATGTGCTGTCCTGAAAGCCCTTGAACATCGCAAATCAATTTATGCCCCCATCCGTCGTCTCCCCCGCGATATTCTCATCGAAATCTTCGATTCTGTTTGCGATTCTTGGTGGCAGGAAGCAGATGAGATTTGGAGCTTCCCACAGCGACTCCATAGTCTGAACTTATCCGGGCCCCTCTGGATCTTGAGTCGCGTTTGTGGGATTTGGAGGGATATATTGCACAGCTCACCAGCGTCCTAGGCTCGGAAGCTTGTCGTGCAGGCACCATTCTCCAAACACGCTCCCGAGATATTGCAGGCCTATCTCAAGCTCACAGGCGAACATCTCCTCCATCTACGTTTCGACTGCCCCGAACCGATAAAAGACGATACAATCCTGTCTCTGCTTGTTCAATCCTACCAAAGGTGGAAGAAATTACGCATCTTCACTATCAAGCAATATATGTGCCACTTCGAATCTATCTTGCAGTTTCCAGCGCTGCAAGCGATTGACATATTTATTTATGGTTATAGCTCTGATTATCACTTGGACATATGCTCGCGTGCCCCGCAGTTATGGCAAACAAGTCTTCGCGCGCGCAAGCTCCATCAGATGAAGTTACCGCCCAGCGTAACCCATTTTTCTGGGACTATCGCCGATCCAGAAGATTTTCGCCTTCTTTCAACACTACCGAAGCTCAGAAGGTGTCATCTTTGGATAAGCAAGGCCAAAGATCAGGCGCCGGTTACAGTGGCACAACTCACTCACCTCTATGTTGATGGCGTGCATATTCTCAATTTCTTATCTGCACCTCTCCTCAGAAGTTTGACTATTAGTATGTCATCAGGACCCCTTCATCGTTCGCACAAGAGTATATCATCCGTTTCCTCCATCGATCGAGATGTCATCTCGAGAGTTTGAGCATCGATAACGTAGCATTCCCATCGGCTACACCTTGTAGACTTTTCGCTTTGGAAGCATGTTCTACCGTCTGTCGCCTCAAACTCTCACTTCATCGATACATGATCAATGACATTGTCAAGGTCCTGGCCTCCCCATCTGTCCTACCGAACCTTCGCCATCTCATCCTGTGTCTATCACCGCATTCAGTGGACGAGTGGACGGCCATACTCCGCATGGTGCGCTCCCGCCGTGACGCAGGATCGCTGAAATTGTTTGAGGTACAGTTCAAGGGAGATGAGCATGATTGCTACCCGGTAGAGGACATTCGAGCTCACAAGGGGGACAACTTTGAGATGCGAGTCGAGAAGTGGGACCCACCGAGGCAGGACCATCTCTACCTCGTGAGGTTTGGGCGATAGCTTTTCCCTCCTGTGAGTTGCTGGCTTTTGTCATTGTATGCCCTTCCAGCTGACCATTTGCTTTCACAGCATGTAAACGTACTGTCATCTGAAAAACAACAATATCAGTATTGTTTTGCCGTCCGCGCATCGCAATTAGATTTTATCGATCCCAGCGTATGAAGGAGCTCCGGTGGTTAGGAACTCGTTCTGAAGCGGCACAGGCTCATGATTGGCACACCATTCGATAGTGTTTTCCGAACTGTATTGGTTCGTTCTTCTAGTCCTAAGTACAACGGATGCTCCTCCAATTGACATGGCGACTTCCTCAAGCGTACACCACAGCGGCGTATTCGCCAAGCCTCAGTCTTCCCGCCACGTCCGGTATTCATATGCGAGCTTTTTGCGCTTGTTCCAAGCATAGTCGCAGAGTACGATCCTGAAGTTTCGCAAAGGTGATGTACCGTCGCCGACCCTGTGGAACATGGGCACCTGTCTTTCTCTTTATCTGCCGAGAGGAAGAATTGAACTGGGTCACAATGAGGGTCCAATGCTTATTGGCGTGGACTCTCCCGTGGTGAAATCGAAATATAGTATAATGACCGGGCGAGTCGTCGCCGTCTCTTCGACAGTAGCATGTTTCGTCTCAGCAAAGGGCATCCCGGCCTTGTTTCGGCGAGCTCACTGCTTCGATTCTTCGACTTGCGCCTACGGCAGGTTGTGATCAGCGACGTCTAATAAAGACAAACTACTCATGCGATGGGAGGTGGGAAGGCGCATCCATCTTTTTTATTGACGCCCTCGGCGGGCCTGGAGGGATCTACGGCGATTTTGTATGTCCTGCGTACCTCATTTACACTCCCACGTTCTGCGCATGGTAATTTGTAAGTCCTCATGTTGTGTTGGGCTTTGCCATCAATCCATACCTATGTTCTCTGGGAAGCCAGTGGTTTCTCGTCGTATCTTCGAATTACGTATCTATCTATACTCGATAGTGGAACTATGTGCTTCTTTGACACGATACTCCAGGAATATAGAAGCTCGCTGAGGATTGATGGCGAGAAGTCCATACTCCCTCATCAGAAGCCCTTGAATCCCCTCAAAATTTGCATGCAGCATGTTTCATAGAAACAAGTCAACCTTTACGTTTATAGATTTTTCTTCCTCTAATT